CCCCCCCCCCCCCCCCACACACACTAGAAATAGTCTCAACTGCGATATTTACATATGAATGGGCGGCGCTATTTACATATGAATAAGACATGACTCATTCTCCCAAAAAAATTACCGTTCGTCACAAGATTGTTCGGGTTTCATTGGAAGAAAAGGTGGCAACCCTACCCGAGCATCTCATCAGGCCAGGAGCTTCCCAAACTATCCTGCACAATTTTGCATCATTTGCTGCTCCCTGATACATTGAGCCAGGTTCTGACTTAGACTGTCTTCAAAGGGACTTCCAGTTCCACCATGTCCCACCCCTGTATCTTAGCATCCCTCATGGAATTGTTACAGGAAATGTCTCAGGTGCTTTATGGACCGAGCATCTCATCAGGCCAGGAGCTTCCCAAACTATTCTGCACAATTTTTCATAATTTGCTGCTCTCTGATGAATTGAGCCAGGTTCTGACTTACACTGACTTCAAAAGGACTTTCAGTTTAGAATTTCAAAATTCAGGGGGTTCACAGTCTTTTAAAACGTTTGGCCAAAATGGACAACTCAGACTACAACGGGACTACCAGGTCCAGTGCCAAAATTGACAACTGATGGAACTTTTTAGAAGTTCGCTCTTTGACTGATTCTTAACTGCTTCACCTGTAAATGGGCAGAAATCTCTTCCAATTGTTATTATGATAAGGGGGAGCTGGCAGTACTGGACCTCATTGTAATCCCCTCTTTTTCTGCATCATATAAAGAGGAACGCTAGGTCATGCTGACACATTATCATGTTGAGGAGGGGAGAGGTTCAATAAATCTATCTAAGTGCCTACTTGGAGCTTACACATGGATTACAGTCAGCGATCCCACAGGTGAACCGAACTGCAGAGGAGCGTGAGGAGGGTGTACCTGTGTATGGGTAGGGGGGGCATTCATCAGGAGAATCTGGAAATACTGTAGAGAGGTGGAGTGCCGGAAAATTTTTGGGGAGTTCTAAATGAATAAAGTGGTTATAGTAGTGCGGCAGCCCTCTTGTGCACACAATATAAAAGTCTATCAAGAATTGATACCCAACATGTCGTGGTCAGTTGTGAGTCTTCATCATCATTCTTAGAACCTTGCTCAGCTATATTGTCCGGAAGCAGTTTTCTAACTCAGCAAGCAAGCTACTAACCACTTTTTACGTATAGTTAAGGAGTCAATTCTTTATCCAGCTGCCTCCTGTACAGTATAGCTAAGCCCTGATGAACGGGGACTTTTGTACAATCTCCAAACTGTGTTGGATGTCAGTTCTGAATAGACTCTTTTATTGTGACAAATCTTTTACTGTTTCTGGACCAATATCCTCTACTTGGTGCTCTCATCCTTTTACTCTACATAAACCATCAAGATATCTGGTCACTTTACTTTGGAAGGGAAACTACAGTGTAAATTCAGTAGGGATTGTGTGGTATTATCATACAGCCTTGCTGGCCAGCAGGACTGAGTTCTCTGAAACCTGTACTTTGTGGCGTTTATAGAATTACTTGAAGAGTACATAGCTAACTTTTTAGACGTGTTAGCTGGAGTGTGTAAACTGTAAAGATGTAACCGCATCCAAACTTCAAAAGCAGCTACAAACCACAGAAGTGTTAATAGAAAAGGAAACAGAGCAAAGATTGTGACTGGCTCGATTTGAGTCATACCAGAGCAGCCTTTCTCAAACTTCTAGACTCAGAGGAACTCGTGAGATAACTTCTAGGTCTCTGGGAAACAATTATTATACCTACAGCTCAGAATGCATTGGCATGAAGAGTAATTTGGGATAGAAGAATAAATAAAAGAACCAGGGCGGCTCTATACTTACAAGTAGGGATGTTCAGATACCAAGTACCGTACTCGGTACAAGTACAAGTACAGATACTTTTCCAGCTCCAAGACTAGACTAGAGAAAAATCAAAAAGTTAGGAGGCAGCTGTCATTTGTAAGGAACATACGGAGCTCCTAGGATTTGTACATCTCTGTTTTAATGTATAATTTGTTTTATAAATTCAGACATCCCAACTCTCCCGGACGCTGCGGGAGTCTCCCGCTATTTGATAGCAGCTCCCGGCTGCCCGGGAGAGAAACACTTCCTCCCGGAAAGGTTTATCTGCTCGATCGAGCAGATAAACCTTTCCCTGCGATCATTTTTTCTTTTCTTTTCTGACATCGGGAGCCACGGCCCGACCGTCAGTCAGAAAAGAAACAAAAAGGAATATGAATCCATAGCTAGATTCCTATTGGCTATTGCACTTTGCAATAGCCAATAGCAAACTAGGTAATGTACCCGCCCACTGCTGCTGTCAATCAGCAGAGGGGGACCTGAATTTTTCTATCAGGTCCTCTTCTGGTGATTAAAAGCAGCAGAGAGTGGGTGCAATAGCTAGTTTGCTATTGGCTATTGCAAAGTGCAATAGCCAATAGGAATCTAGCTATGCATTCTTATGCCTTTTTTTATATATTCTGACGACTGCAACTGTCAGAATCCCACAGGTGAACCGAACTGCAGAGGAGCGTGAGGAGGGTGTACCTGTGTATGGGTAGGGGGGGCATTCATCAGGAGAATCTGGAAATACTGTAGAGAGGTGGAGTGCCGGAAAATTTTTGGGGAGTTCTAAATGAATAAAGTGGTTATAGTAGTGCGGCAGCCCTCTTGTGCACACAATATAAAAGTCTATCAAGAATTGATACCCAACATGTCGTGGTCAGTTGTGAGTCTTCATCATCATTCTTAGAACCTTGCTCAGCTATATTGTCCGGAAGCAGTTTTCTAACTCAGCAAGCAAGCTACTAACCACTTTTTACGTATAGTTAAGGAGTCAATTCTTTATCCAGCTGCCTCCTGTACAGTATAGCTAAGCCCTGATGAACGGGGACTTTTGTACAATCTCCAAACTGTGTTGGATGTCAGTTCTGAATAGACTCTTTTATTGTGACAAATCTTTTACTGTTTCTGGACCAATATCCTCTACTTGGTGCTCTCATCCTTTTACTCTACATAAACCATCAAGATATCTGGTCACTTTACTTTGGAAGGGAAACTACAGTGTAAATTCAGTAGGGATTGTGTGGTATTATCATACAGCCTTGCTGGCCAGCAGGACTGAGTTCTCTGAAACCTGTACTTTGTGGCGTTTATAGAATTACTTGAAGAGTACATAGCTAACTTTTTAGACGTGTTAGCTGGAGTGTGTAAACTGTAAAGATGTAACCGCATCCAAACTTCAAAAGCAGCTACAAACCACAGAAGTGTTAATAGAAAAGGAAACAGAGCAAAGATTGTGACTGGCTCGATTTGAGTCATACCAGAGCAGCCTTTCTCAAACTTCTAGACTCAGAGGAACTCGTGAGATAACTTCTAGGTCTCTGGGAAACAATTATTATACCTACAGCTCAGAATGCATTGGCATGAAGAGTAATTTGGGATAGAAGAATAAATAAAAGAACCAGGGCGGCTCTATACTTACAAGTAGGGATGTTCAGATACCAAGTACCGTACTCGGTACAAGTACAAGTACAGATACTTTTCCAGCTCCAAGACTAGACTAGAGAAAAATCAAAAAGTTAGGAGGCAGCTGTCATTTGTAAGGAACATACGGAGCTCCTAGGATTTGGACATCTCTGTTTTAATGTATAATTTGTTTTATAAATTCAGACATCCCAACTCTCCCGGACGCTGCGGGAGTCTCCCGCTATTTGATAGCAGCTCCCTGCTAACTTTTTAGACGTGTTAGCTGGAGTGTGTAAACTGTAAAGATGTAACCGCATCCAAACTTCAAAAGCAGCTACAAACCACAGAAGTGTTAATAGAAAAGGAAACAGAGCAAAGATTGTGACTGGCTCGATTTGAGTCATACCAGAGCAGCCTTTCTCAAACTTCTAGACTCAGAGGAACTCGTGAGATAACTTCTAGGTCTCTGGGAAACAATTATTATACCTACAGCTCAGAATGCATTGGCATGAAGAGTAATTTGGGATAGAAGAATAAATAAAAGAACCAGGGCGGCTCTATACTTACAAGTAGGGATGTTCAGATACCAAGTACCGTACTCGGTACAAGTACAAGTACAGATACTTTTCCAGCTCCAAGACTAGACTAGAGAAAAATCAAAAAGTTAGGAGGCAGCTGTCATTTGTAAGGAACATACGGAGCTCCTAGGATTTGTACATCTCTGTTTTAATGTATAATTTGTTTTATAAATTCAGACATCCCAACTCTCCCGGACGCTGCGGGAGTCTCCCGCTATTTGATAGCAGCTCCCGGCTGCCCGGGAGAGAAACACTTCCTCCCGGAAAGGTTTATCTGCTCGATCGAGCAGATAAACCTTTCCCTGCGATCTTTTTTTTTTTCTTTTCTGACATCGGGAGCCGCGGCCCGACCGTCAGTCAGAAAAGAAACAAAAAGGCATATGAATCCATAGCTAGATTCCTATTGGCTATTGCACTTTGCAATAGCCAATAGCAAACTAGGTAATGTACCCGCCCACTGCTGCTGTCAATCAGCAGAGGGGGACCTGAATTTTTCTATCAGGTCCTCTTCTGGTGATTAAAAGCAGCAGAGAGTGGGTGCAATAGCTAGTTTGCTATTGGCTATTGCAAAGTGCAATAGCCAATAGGAATCTAGCTATGCATTCTTATGCCTTTTTTTATATATTCTGACGACTGCAACTGTCAGAATACTAAAAACAAAATCAGAAAAAAAACCTGCAGATAGCAAAGAAGCTATTGCTTCCTGTGCTATCTGCCATCATTTCAGGAGGGTGCTCTCTCCCAGCCCCCCTAACCCCCCTCCGCGGATGGGGGGGGGGCGTAGAGGGCACCTCCCTGAAATGAGAAGGACACCTCCCTGAAATGGCTTCTTTCAGGTTGGGATCCCTGTAAATATATATAATGGATGCACCGATACCATTTTTTCCAGACCAAGTACTGATAGATTTTTGTTTATTGTCATGTGACAGTTTTTCTAAAACAATACAGACTACTGATTTCCATAATGAGGGGGTCCCACCATCTCTGTACTAAGTTCCCTGGTCTGCATACCTGCTGTGCTCATTATTACGGGTTTCCACTATCCCTGTGCAGAGTTCCTGGTTCTGCACACCTGCTATGCCCATTATAAGAGGTTCCCACTATCTTGTGCAGGGTTCCTGGTTCCACACACCTGTCCTGCTGCACCCATTATGAGGCACTTCCACCATCTCTGCACTAAGTTCCTGGTTCTGCACACCTATTGTGCCCATTATGAGGGGCTTCCTCCATTCCTGAGCTAAGTTCCCTTAGTCAGAATGTCACACGGGCTTCCAATGGAGAATACAATTGTCTGCTTCAATGCTTCAACAAACATTACACAGGCATGGTCTATTATTGTCATCATTAGGAAACCCGCCCTAATGTCATGCAGCCATCACTGGAGTGCATCCACATAGTGAATGGCTGCAAAGAGGCTGCAGGAGATCAGCAGTGCTGAGATTTAGCAAAGACTGAAAATAGGAATTTTATGTAAAAAATGACATTTATATTGTACCCACGATTGGGGTTGTAGCCATATCGTGTAGTGTTCTACTGTAAGCTGTATGTCTTACAGCCAATAACAATGATTGCAACAGAACAAAATGGTATTTATTTACGATACACAGTGCTTTAGCAAATTAAATGTTATTCAGTTAGGGTTCATAGCTGCTTTATATAGTATATAATAATAGTAAGTAATAAAAGAAAAATATATGTTTGGATATTTGAAGAGTACACAGGGTAAAAATCCCCCAGCTTTCAGCCGTAAAAGCCAGCAATAGAATTCTAATCAATACCTGCTTCTAAGATTCCAATGAGAACAGAGGTCTCCGCTGCATAACTGCATTGTAACCCACAGAAGCACCAGTACTGGGATATACAGATCATTAAATAAATGGACAGCAAGCTAACTTAAAGGGTAACTCCATCCCTTCCTAAAGTGTGTCAATAGAAAGACGTTTTTCTCTTTAGGTCTGGACACAATGGTGAGGGGTCAGAACCCCTTCCAGGTTTATATTGCTATAGTCCAGAGCATGCATATCGGAGGTGCTGGATTCAACTTATCAGTAGTTCATGGTTGAAGAAAGTCAATCAAATTCATATGGGGCACAGTGGCTCTGGTGAGATCGCTCTCGATAAAAACAAGGGACCCCTTTAGTGTATATATAAGAAATATACTGTAAATTGAATGATAGGTTGAACTAGTAAGATCCAAAAGCAAAAACTCTAATTAGAGCTCCTGACCATCAAAGAGTAAAAAATCCTTTAATATTAGCCTTTGTTTATAGCATATAGGTTTGTAACAACCAATGCGTTTCTGGCTCAGATACTTTAATGTGTAATATGTAATTAGGAAGACTCAAAATGACACAGCCCCCAGGGTTATTTATATACAGGGTGATAAATGGAATATTTTCAGGACCGATGTGGCAGCCCTGTAGCCACATGCACAGACCAGGCTCACTCAAGGCATCTACAGACTTTACATGTGTATGATCACATGGAACCCAACTGGAACTGTTGGCCTACCAATCAAGTTTCTGGTTTGGGATTTAGATATACTTTAAAGGTGCATCAACATGTTCAGACCGGGCTCACTGAAGGCATCTACAGACCTTACAAGTGTATGAACAAATGGAACCCAGCTGGAGCTGTTAGCCAACCAATCCAATTTCTTATTTTGGCTTTAGACATACTGTATGTTAAAGGTGCACCAACATGCATAGACCAGCCTCATTCAAGGCATCTACAGACCTTATAAGTGTATGAACAAATGGAACCCAACTGAAACTGGTGGCCAACCAATGCGATTTATTGTGCTGGCTATAGATCTATTTTTTAGGTGTATCAACATGCATGGACTAGGCTTCCTCAAGGCATCTATATACCCCATAAGTGTATGAACAAATTGAAACCCAACTGTAGCTGTTGGCCAACCAGTCCAATTTCTTATTGCATTCCAATAAGACTTCACAAATGTATTCACAAGATACACAAGTCTAGTGGAAAATCTACTCCTTCAGTAGCCCCTGAAAAGTAGTCTCAGAATTATGAATAAAAATGGAACTCAGCTGGAGCTGTTGGCCAACCAATCCAATATCTTGTTGCATTCCACCAGCGAAGGAAAGCTTACACTCCGTTGGCTACTATCAGAAGCATCTAAACATTTGCTCCCGTTTTTATCCACTAGTTCCTTTGATTATTATTATACAGTATAGTATGGATATTTCTTATATACTATATACAGAGTGTGTAGAAAAAAAGATACCTTGTATATTGAGAGCTGCGTCTTCCTGAGTGGTCTGCTGCAAGCTCTCATCTAGTTCATGGTCTCACGGCAGAGAGGGGAGAAGCTGTACAATGACTTCATCAACTGTGGTTAGATACTTTCCACTTAAAGATCGCTTTGGTTAGGTGGCCCCCAAAAAAGTTTTGGCTTTAGATATACTTTAAAGGTGCAGCGGGATGCAAGGACCAGGCTCACTTAAGGCATCTACTGACCTTACAAATGTATGAACAAATGGAACACAACTGAAACTGTTGGCCAACCAGTGCAATTTATTGTGCTCGCTTTAGATCTATTTTTTTAGGTGTATCAACATGCATGGACTAGGCTTGCTCAAGGCATCTACAGACCTCACAAGTGTAGGAACAAATGGAACCCAAATGTAGCTGTTGGCCAACCAATTTAATTTCCTATTGCATTCCAATAGGACTTTACAATTATATTCACCGGATACACAAATCTAGTGGGAAATCTACTCCATCGGCAGCCCCTTTCCTAAAACACAGGGTCAGAATAAAAAAAAAAAAAATGAAAAAGTAAATGGAACTCCGCTGGAGCTATTGGCCAACCAATCCAATTTCTTGTTGCATTTCCACCCAAATAGAATAGCTGACACTTGATTGGCTACTACCAGAAGCATCTAAACGTGTGCGCTGGTTTTTCCCACTACTCCCTGTGGTTATTAATATATATTATTAATATTTCTTATATACTATATACAGTGTGTGTAGAGGAGAGGTACCTTGTATACCAAGAGCTGCGTCTTCCTGTCCTCTTCCTGAGTGGTCTGCTGCAAGCTCTCGTCTAGTTCATGGTCTCATGGTGGGGGGGGGGGGGGG